ATACCTAAAGGTCCATGCCACATAAACCCTATAGAACCCTCCCCCCCACCCCCATCCTATCCTTCCGCACCCGTTGCGCTGCTGTCCGCCGAAGCTCCGCCGGGTCGCGGCAGGCTCGGACCCTGGGTCGCGAGCACCTCTAGCTGCCAAAGGGCCCAAGTAGGTATGGAGCAACCATATATAAAGAGAGAGCGGGAGAGAGACTAGAAGGAATAAGAACAATGCTACTACCAACAACAATAATAGCAAACATGTAGCACTATAATGATGAATACTATATATATATACATATATGTATTGCGTTCCTACCCAGGCCCCAAAGTGCCTCTGTAGGAATCCCTCTATGGACTCCACGTGTAGGTAGCTAGAGCATTTGGGTCTGAAGTTCTTCGGGGCCCTGGCTACGGGTTTAGTCGTAGTCGCTGTCTTGCTTCAAGCATGGAATGTGAGGTGTTTTCAAGAAGGGTCCTTGACCCCTTGAGGTCGATCTTTACTGTGAAGAGCAAGACTGCGTGCTTTACGTTTTGGGCTTCGTTGCATTTAGAGTAAAGCGTTTCGGTTCAGCTTTGCGGAAAGGTGCCCAAGCGGTAGTGTTGCGTTTAGGGTCCTTCTGCGGTGGTGGCGGCTCCGACTAGGAGGTACTCCCCGCTCCAGCCGTACGTCTTCACCTTATGCCATCAGAGCCCCCATGCTCATCTGACTCGGCTGGATATTCTGTTTAGGCTGTGGGCGTATGGTTAGTTCTCAGTTTAGTTGCAAGCGCAGGCATCAGAGACGCAGTTGAAGCCTTTTCTTGTTGTGTGTCGACTTTACGTCCTTCATCAAATGCAGCTACCAATACGGAAGATGCTCCGCCGTCTAGAATGCTGCTTCCGCTGATCGCGGCCAAGGCAAGCGGCATGGAATGTTCATGGTATCGGTGCGTACTTTCCAAAGAGCAAATTGACATGAGCATTCCATCAACCTAGCACAAGGATCCACATAGTCCAAGACCTGCAATTCGTGGTCAGCCAGCGCTTCTCCACTCTACTTGCATTTTAATATCTTGAACTGTCTAACAATACCGAAGCCCCTCCTCCTGAGACCCACGCGCATACAAACAAAATAGTCTCAACATGAAACCATCAGAAAATGGGGGGGCGAATGTTTATGATTGTGGGGTGCAGGGGTTTGCTGCTGAAGGTCAGCTGAGCAAGGGCGCGCCAGAGCTTTAGGACGAAAGAAAAGAACAACAGGCTACCAACTAAGGAAAGGGAACTTGTTGCGCAATCCATCTCTCAACCCGTGGCAGTTTCGGTGCTTTGTACATGAACCCACTGCTCTTGCTCAAGTTCATTCATGCTACCCAAATCAGACAACAAGAAGCCGCTTTCAGCCCCTGCGTGATAACAACGGCCATGATGAGTGGGCCCACGTTGCAGCGACATGTTCATTCTCTCTAGGGGATCCCAGTAGTTTAAATCATATACTTACCCAAAACCTAGTACTTAACTTTTGGATAGTTGTACCTTTTGGGCGTTTGACAGGCAGCTAGTAGCGGCAAGCTGTCCCAAAAGAAGCAGGCTGCCCATACGGCCGAGTGCAGACTCAGAACAGAAACTTCGATTTCAGATGATGTTGACATTCGTCACAAACCCTAATCCCTAAATTCTAAGGCAAACAGCGCATGCACACACCCTCTGGGTGCCCCAGGCTGAAGGAGGGCAACGAACTCTCCAAGAGTGGCAACCTATGGGGGTTTGATGGGCCTATGTAGCTAACTGGGGGTTAGTAGGGAATAAGAAAGCAGGGCATATATGATAGGCTTAGTGTTTAGGGCTTAGGATTAGGGAATAAGGGAATAGAGCCATTATTTGAGAAAGTATTAATAAGGCTATGGAGGCATGTATCCGGTTTGGGTTTAGGCTTCTAGCCTTTTCAGGTCCAGAGGTTCTAGGACCTGAGGGGTTCCGATTCTAGGGGAAGGCTAGCCAGTCCCTAAATCCAAAACCCTATAGACCCTAAACCCCAGACCCCAAACCCTAGACCCTAAACCCTGAACCCTAGTGGGAGTGGTCAGACTTGTGGATTTAGGCTCTGTTTGTTCTGGGCTGAAAGGCTGTAAGGCGTCAAGTTCTGTTTAAGTTCACCTTATTTACTGGGGTTTAGTAGGGAATAAGGTAATATACAATTTATAGATAATTCTTGTAATAGATTCCCCTCTTCCCTACTAACCCTAGTATGTTGCTGGGTTGGAAATGCCTTTTGTCGATGAGGGCCCATATGACACAACTCATGCAAGGACCCTGCATTTGTGGGAGAGAAGGTAATGGGCGCCGAGTTACATCACACATCAGGTGGGAACCAAAGACCGGGCAAAGCAACCAAATGAAGGTGGCAGAAGGTAAAGGTTCCTAGTTCCTTTCCCCAACAACCTGGCGGCCCTATATAACTACCAGAAATGCGAAATGTGAAGGATACTGGGCACTATTCAAAGGCACGTCCCGGACCCGACACTTGATGCCACAAAAACCTGAGGCCCCTGAAGAAATCAGATACTTGCGACTCAGAGCCCGCACATGAACCTCGTAGTATCCCTTTCCCTGCTCTAACTGAGAGCCATGCGTTGGCATTCCTGGCGGAAAGGGTTGCGACTCGGGGCTTCAGTCTACAAAAATGTGGTCCAGGTTCTGCGGTAGGTACTGCTCATTTCACAGGCATTCGGTCCCATTACTGCGTACAAAAACATCTTTCCAGTTCAGCCACTCGAGCTTCTGTCGTGCCCGTAGTTTGTACAATAATTCTGCGGGAAAGGGAGTCGGGTGATGGTAGGCTACAAGACTTCACAAGAATCTCATCCAGATTGAGCATCAGCGCGTGCGATATGCAATAATAGTATCAAGCGCGGACAGTCACTTCTGCAGAGGATTAACTGCCTGGTTTGGAACATGGTCATCTAAAGCCTCTGAGTTGCGCTGCATCTGTGTGAGCTGGTCCTTGCTTGCCCACATAGAACTACACAAGTCCCCCCGTAAGTTCAGCATGTGGGCTGCCGGGCAAATGCAATGACGACCCGAATCAACTCGTAGGCCCCCGACTGCAGACACTCAGTAGGGATCCAAGTAACAAAAATCATTTCTACATTGGGTCCTAAAGTTTGTCAATATTACCTGCATTGGGCTAGTTGGATCCTTGGGGACATGCTTACAAATGAAAGCGCTCGTGTCGAGGGTCGACCCATCCATGAGATCTGGCAGTTCGTTCTCCTTAATTGTCTTGGCGCAGAAAGTCTAATCCCTGTATAGTCCCCATATGACATGTTCCAGTATTCCTTACTAGGAACTCCTATTCATGCAACCCACCTTTGAAATCTGTGCTCTGAAATGGCGCACCGGAGCCACATGCGAGAAAGGAGGGTAGCCCAGGATTTGCCCTGAATACGTGCCTACCTGTGGATGGGTGTGCACCCTTTGCAGCTTCTGGCTTTAGTTCAACCTCAATGTTTTTTGCTTAACGGCAAGCGGAACAAAAGTGTTCAAGCAAGTACCCTAGATCTTGAAACCCTGACCCCGAAAACATAATCCCGTACACTCCACGCCCCCAAGTCCTGGAAGCTCCACCTCAGCTGAATCTTTGTCGCGATTCAGTTTCGCTTCAAGAAATACTCTGAAGTTTACATACCTTTGCAGACCCAGAGAAACGGTCGTTTGGATGTGATGACGTGTATTGGGGTACCCTTATTTATGGAAACGACCATGTGCGCGTGCCTCACATTCAGCAACTGGAAGACTGCAGACACCTCTTCGGTGGTCATTCGCATGTTTGCCTGCGCAGCATCCCTCTCAATCCTTAAGCTTGCGCAGCAGAAACTTTTATTCTCATAGTGACTGCTTCCCCCCAACGCAGTACTACGTCGGGTACTTGGAAAAATGATGCGGCTGCAAGCTCTAAGTATCGTACAAACCAACCCACCCCGAAAGTACAACCTGCTCAGCTAGCACAGGAAACAGTTGAATGACTACCTTCCATCCTGGATCAGAAGCTATAAACCCCCTCCCCCTAATATGAAACCCCCTAGTACTCAAGATATGATAATATACCATAATGGGAAAGTTCAATATTGGCGGGAGTGCAGGGGGAGTTAATAGTAGGGGGTTTCAAGGCGGAGGAGGGCCTGCAGTATTAATTTCTGAAAGGTCCCTAGTTCCCCAGTAACCCCATAATAAGAAGGGTACCCTTTTTCCTACTGCTCTGCTTTAATAAGTAGACCCCAAAATAAAAACGGAAAACAGGGGACTACTGGAGTACCTAAACCTGATACATTGCAATGAAGCACATGGCTCACAGAACACAATAGACACAATACAAATGGTAGTCTCCCAAAATAGGGGGACCCCAACATAGACCCAAATGCTTTATAGTCCTTACTATAAAGACACCACAAAAAGGTACCCATAATTTTGGGAAACCCTCAAGCCTGTAATATCCGTATCTAACCCCTGTATCAGCCTATATCCCCCTTAAACGGTTACCCTTTTTTGGGGAAAGCTGCAAATCTTTGCAAGTTTTCTCCGCACTGTTCACACGGTCTGGGTTCCTGTAGGCCCGACAACAACAACATCGGTTTAGGTTTTAGGAAGTTTCTGGATTGCTGTTCCGGAACTTCAATTTAGTTACCATACTGTAATGGGTCTATATATATATATGTACATGGTAAATAATAGGGTTTCCATACTAATGTAACTGAATTAAGTTCCTTAGCAGGAACCCTGGGTTTCAGCTGCGCCATGTTTGTTCACAGACTTGGGATGCCGGAGCCCCGAAATTACAGGGTCCAGGGGGGTTTAGGGTTTAGGATTTAGGGTTTAGGGGGCATCTTACGTACAGGCGCCCAGAACACATATACGGGAATCCCTGCATGCTACCAGACTGTACGGGTGCCTGTACATGTTGGGGGAGATGAACTTTTGCGAATGCATGTGTATATATACAATTACATAGACATATGGTTGGTGTTCAAAAGTCAAGTTCCTAATTATACACATATATATATATTCTATACCCATACATGTATGTATATGTCGTGTTTCAAAAGGGGGCCCTCAGGCACCCTTAAAACATGGAAGGTTACAAGTCCTTATGTGGTCTACGTGCAAGGATGCGGTGGGTAGATTTTGAAAGACTTCCCGGGCCCCTAAAACCAAAACCCCAAACCGCATAATGTCTGGGATTGGCGCGCGTTGCCGCTGACTTCCACATACTCCCGATGTCTCCAACATGTCCCAAACATAGCTATGTTCTGCATGGTTCTTAGTAATTCTTGACAGCTTGGTTCTCATGATGACCAGTCGTCCTAAACCTGATCCCAGATCTTCGGCCTATCCGTGTCCCATCGAATCCAAACCTGTCACTAGCATGGGAGGACTAACCTTACCCTACCCCGCCTATTCCACATCACAGTGGGAAAAGTCGGGCACTGCACCAAAGATGGGGAGACGAGGTGAAATGCTATGTTCGCCCAGATCCCCAACTTCAGGAGCTATCATCAAGCGGTCAGGGCATGCGGGCCTTTTTCAGAAGCACTGCTAACTCAGTACGGACCTAAAGCTAGGCAAGCGCCATGGAAATGAATATCTAACTATGCTCTACATTCCTTGACCCTCCAAGCTGTGCCTTTTCCAAGGCAGCGACCTGAGCAACAGTGGTCATGGTCGAAGGGGTAACACTTATCTTCTGCCCTTTACAGAGCAATGCCCATTCACTCGTGCTGGAGCTTGTGATATGACTCTTTAGATTGCCTTTACTTGCAAAACCGGCTGCATAGGATGCGGGGCCAAAGACACAATGATATTGGGATGATTTCTCTGTCTGCTGCACCAAATCCTGAGCTAGGGCATCCCCAAGCAGCAGAAACTTTTCTTATTATGACATTTGAAATTTCTAGTAGTACTGTTATCATTGCTATTTCTGATTACTGCTATTATTACTGTTCTGGAAATTATTATGATGTTTCCTCCCATGGCAGCCCCGCGAAGACTAGTGTTCCCCCTGCGGAGAGGTTTGCGAGGGGTTTCATGTTTGTTAGTGGGATGCTCGAACAACATAGAATATCAATGGCTTCAACCATCAGGCTACAGGGGATGGCACTGGAATGAGAAGGGTTCCTGCCAGATCCCACAACACTTTGGGTAAGGGAAAGGATTTACGCTGGACTTTGGTCGGAGGCGTGTATACATTACCTTACCTAACCTCTAAATCCTAATCCGTGTTCCTATAGTCAAGATGCTCAGGCTGCCACAAACTCTGCCTCTGAGAGCGGCTGGCGCTTGTCTAGGACCTGCACGTGACGTGAGGGATATGACCTGATATAGAGTTTATATAGGGTTTGCACAGGGCCATATACTGATCATGTGGGGTCCACATAGGGATTTATTAGAGTGTTACCCCTCACCCCCCAATAATGGAGAATCAGATGCAGAAGAACATGGACATCAAATGAAAATTGGTACCCTCTCGGGGATCCCTATACAAGGATTATAGTACTTTGGGGGTCCATATTATTTGCAGCCCGCCTGTTTTCGGAAACTACCACGTGATCCCGAAATCCTAGCAGCCATGGCACACGAGTTTGGAGGGGGTTTAGCTGTCAAAGTTGCAGGGCTTACAGATTCAGGGTTTGGCCGTTTTTAAACTAATGTTAAAATAGGTTCTTGTGTGGGAACTTAGACTAAATTACTACAGTAAGGAAACCGTATCATCTAGTATATACCCATATTATGGTAACTTACTCAAAACTCAGCAGGTTTTCAGCTGACCTTTGGGGGAGACCATAATAGGCGGCAACTTAGGGATACCTCTGGGGGTGTTTTGAAGAGGATTATAATCTGCTTGGGGGTGTAAAATTACATATAAGGGGTCCGCAATTCTTGCAATCTCCCGAACAGGAGACTCTTACCCGCAAGGTCGAAATGCCCAGGAAAGAAGACCCAGCCAAAGATGCCGTAAAGTATCCTCAGTGCAAGAATGCTCCTCCAGACCGAACCCTAATCCTCCCTAACCCTCATCCTTTTTCTCTAGATCCTATAAACCCCAAACCCCATACCGTAAGCCCTAAGCCCTAGACCCTGTAAACCCTACACCCTAAAAGCCCTAAGCCTTAAGCCCTAAGCCTTAAGCCCTAACTAAACCCTGAACCTACACCCTATACCCTAGACTTCACACAGAAGGCGTAGGCCTTGGCAAAAGCCTCAGCCTCACGACCACCCAGCTGTAAACGGACAGCCTGGGAGGCTTCCCTGGTGTACACCGGTCCCCAAACACTAAGGGCTTTTGGTCTAGGTCTATGTCTGGGGTTTGGGGTTAGGGTTTAGGGTTTAGGTTTCTGCTCCAACAACCTGACTAACCTGACCTAGCGCTCGGTATAAAGTCAGGAAACCCTGCTCCATCAACCTGAAATACGCGGTTCAGAATCCAAATGGCTCATCGTATTCTCAGTTCCCTAGTCTAACAGTTGGCCTACCCCAAGACCTTTTAAGTCCTTCACCCTAATTACAACCCATTAACACCGAAGGTTGCAACCCAGAAGCCGCACACTATACTTTCCAGCTGACTGCTATTGCTGAAGCATGCGTTCTGAACGTCCCATCCTGCCCTTTTCCTGGACCCCCAAGCCCGACAAACTCGAACTTATCCCTCGCTTCATCCGGATCACGCTGTTCGTGAACCCTTCGCTTGTAAATCTAATAGACTTGATCACACAGAGCTAATCGCCACTAATTGTGGAAAGTAATCTGTATACGTCCTACTAGACCTGACTCCAAGTCCGGGCATGCCTCAACCAATGAACCAGAAAACTGCCACCAACCACCTGCGAGCAACAACCGCCTGAGGTCCTCAACCATACTAGGCCCTGATTACACCACGCACAAAAGCTTAGCATGGGAACCAAAAACGTGATGATAAGACTTGAATGCATACAAGTGAGGTAAAAGAACAGAGAAGTACAAGGGCGATGCACAGTTCTGTTTCTCACTAAACCTGAACCCCTGACAGCCCTAGACGCTCAACACCGAAAACCTTGCACTTCACAAACAGAGCGCTACAGATGCCAAGACCCTACCACCCTCCAATCCCTCCTCCTACATCATGACCGTGTAAACCGCAACCCCTATACCCTAAACCCTGACCCTTAAACCCTAAACCCTACACCCTAACCCCTAAACCCTGATTTAGGTCCACCCCGCGCCTCCAATACAGAGCAAGGTGCGAAAAGACGGAGGCCCTGAGCGTGCTTGCCCCTAAGGGTCCAAGGACCCAAATAATGGGGCTTCAGGGCCCAAATACCATTAACATTAAAATATTTGGGCCCTAAAACCCTACTATTTGAGACCTTGGACCCTTAGAGTTCATGAAGGGCGAATTTGTGGCAATCCGCGGCTCACAGGAGTTCGTACCTGAGGGGTCATCTGGTGTACCGGAGAGGGCATCTTTCCCTGGAATTATTGATATATGCGTGATGGTGGCGTTTCAAAGTTTAGGATTTGGAATTCGGGACTTCAGAGCTTAGATTTTGGACTTGGCCAAGCCACTGGTAAGGACTTCAGGTCTGGGCTTTGTTGGCCTGTGTGGAACCCTCCACGCAGCACTTCAGGAGTTGCGAGGCAAGGTTCAAGAGGATCTCTTTACGGCAGGGTCATGTAAGAATATGCAAGCCTTCCGCACTTATCTGCGGAGACTAAGTAGTATGGCTTTATAAACACGACCCTTATAAACAAGCAATCATGTGAGACAAGTTCACAATCTCAAACCATCGGACAAGCGTGAGCAAATGGCCATGCGTATTGAATCGGAAAGTACGCCGCATGAGGTTTTTGGCATTTAAGTACAGGCAGCGCTTTCCCAAATGCAAGGCATCTGCCTGCGACATCGCAAACTCCAAGAGTGCAGTCAATTAGCCCATTCCCTGCAAATCACCAGTAAGCTGACCCATCAATACGATCCCACCAGCGGCGCCTTCAGGAAGCCTTCAATGGTGATCCCTTGCTGCCCACAGGCTCCTTGGCACAAGGAACGTGCAACACCCTTACATGTTGAATATCCATGACTTGGGAATAGGCCTTCTCAGCCTAATGCTATACTGAGGGGCGCCAAACTGCATGTAAGTTCCATTCCTTGGTCCACTGTTAACCCCAAAAGAGACCGGAAGCTACCACATAATGTATCATTTACTGTTCTCTTTCCTGCTCCAACGGGAACTCTCGGCAGCCTTGCTGCAAAAAGTACTATACACCATAAGGGGGACATGATCATGATTTGTGCTGACGACTATAGTATCCCTCTTCTGGGGGTGAAACCTCAAGCCTTTAACAGAACACAACCCTGAACCCTAAACACTAAGCTTAAAAGCCTAGACCATAAACTCTGAACCCTGTAAACCGCAAAAAGCATCTCCAAGCATGCAACGGTATTTTCCTAGCCATACAAGCAAGGCATTAGGCTCTGAGAAGGGCATCTCCTCCTGAAGTGGACCGTAGCTTGAACCAGAACAGCACAACTAGAAACTCAATCTTGTACAGGTTCCAAAATTAGGAGTACAGGTTTTCAAAAATTGTTCGGGGCCGTGTTTTTGCAAGTCGCCTTATAGCTAGATGCTCACACCCGTCATCCCACGAGACAAGACGATAGACTTTCATGCAGAGATCATGTTCAAACTAACAGGGGAAGTGCAAGGTGCAAGCGAAGGCCCCATCTATACTTGAATACCCTCTTCAACAACTGTCCTCTCCTGTTCATGGTGGTGCAAAAACATGTCTCTTGCCATCAATTAGTGCCGGGAGCATCATTTGCAGTGACAAAACAGCGCATCCCAATCCGCTCTCCCCAATACTGCACATACCCCCAAGGATTGCATGGGAAGTGTAATTCTGGATGGAGGCTTAGTAAGTTTCAAGCTTAGGATTTCCCGGACTACAGCGTTGGGAATGAGACCTTCTCCCTGTGTTAGGTTTACTTTGCCGGCATCCATGGCCAAGAAATCATGTACAAAACGGATTCTTCAACCTGCGCCCCGAACTTCGCGAGCCGGAAGACTGCTGACGAACGAGATGACAGCCTCCATTTCAAAGCTTTCGACCTGTGAGGACTTAGCTCTTGCGTCTTGTGAGGACTTATTTACGGAATGCCCGTTTTAGGCGGGAAGGCATCGTAAGAGTCACCCGACGTTTCGGATGAAAAGTCAACAGATTCATGTTCATGTGGGCTTTAGGGCAAAAAATGTGGACTGAGGCCTGAGAATCGGGTCCTTGAACCCCCAAAAAACCCTTTGACCCAAAACCCTTCAAAAACAAAACTGTTCACCCAAAACACTCAACCTTCAACAATACCTGCTCTCAATGCTGAAACCTAAAGTTAGGCTTCACTTCGCAGCCCCGGACCTTGCGAATTTAGGGCTTATAGGGTCTAGGGATCTAAAGGGAGGCACGCCCGCCTCTCCAAAAAAAAAGGCGAGGCCTGTGGTTGCATCCATCCGACATTTCAGATTTTTCAGCTCCTTGCGCTGCTCCGTTTCGGGGGCACAATTTCAACGAACATATAACCCCTAATATAACCCAATATAACCCCAATATCGCCCTTTGGGAGATAGCAGAGTTTCATCTGCGGCTCTTCTGCACACTTCGTGCCGTCCGCTAGCTGCAACGGGGCTCCGCCACTACAGTATATTAGGGGTTCTATTGGGGATTCTATTGGGGATTATATTCGGGGTTATATTCGGGGTTATATTAGGGGTTATATTGGGGTTATATTAGGGGTTATATTGGGCCTGTATAGGGATAATGGAAATGAAAATGGAAACTACTATTTATACTTCAACTATGAACACGTGACTTTCTTTCTGTCTTGTGAAGCCGTCATGCCTCACTGACTACGCGGCGCTCGAAAGGTTGAACACATGACTCGAAAATCCCCAACACCAAGGCAACCATCTGAGCCCTAAACCCTAAACCCTAAACCCTAACCCGTAATGGCTGCATGGCATAGACTCTCAAAGGTCATTTTTACAGCGCCGTGGAATCTTCACATCGCACAAAAATCCTGGGTTGCTGTTATGGAACTTACATTAAGTTACCATAATGTTTAGGGTTTAGGGTATATTGGGTATACATAGTAAGTAAGTCATAGGGTTTCCCCAATATAGCAACTTGAATTAAGTTCCTTAATAGCACCCCTGAAACATCCCCACACGTTCTCTTGATGGGAATTAGGCAATATGGAGTGGAAAGACCACTGTAGGGGCGTTTATATATGGACTACTATGGAGCCCACCATTCCCTACTGACCACGTTAAAGTCTCCCCCCGTTAACGACATTCTAAATTCTAAAGCCTACAGCACCCGAGATTTGCATCAAGGTCTGTGGAAGCCAAGCCAAAATTTGCAAAGCTGGCCTGAACCTGGCGCGGGAAACCAAGGCCCAAGCACCCAACCATTGCGGCTTTTAAGAGCCGAAAACCATTGAGACAGGAGACTTTTCGTTCGCACCCTAAACTTTAAATCATTTGGGTACTTTCAACCTCTAGGGAAGGCAGGGCGTGAAAAGAGTGCGAGCATACTCTGGCAGGAGGGCCAATCATCGAGAGTATCAGGAGCAAACGGAACTCCCAATCTAGCCCTGAGAAGTAGCCACAGTTCTGAGGCCAACAGCAGCAAACCGCAGTATCATCAGTAAAGGCACTCAGAGCAGTGCCTTCAACCACAGGACCTAAACCTTGGTGCTTAATTAACGCCGACCTAAACCTCAGTCCTTGATGCGAAGCTGCATGATTTCTATAAGGCAGTTTAGTAACTACAATCCCTACAAGGCCTGAGGGTCCTTCATGATACCCTAAACCCTATACTAGAATATACTATAATACTATACCATAATATGCTATAATATATTACTATATACCATAGTATATTTTTACTCTACGATTGTATTATATACTGTAATATAAGCCCGCAACCGCATGCTAGACTCGAGGCCCTGGCTCCTTCAATGGACTCAAGCAGCAAAGATAGCTCCTGAACTTCTTCGAGATACGTATAATACAAACACTAGTCAATTTGTACATTACGAAACATTCGTCCAGTCACTTGTAGTAGCCATAAGAACAGTTTTTAAATGAATGGAGGAAATTACCTAGTTGTAACTTCCAAGACCAGCTTTCTCCTACCTAGCCCTAAACTCCAAAACTAGCACATAATCCCAGTTTCCATGTCATGCTTTGGGTTTTTTTACATTCGCTCCGCGAATAGACCCCAAAATGCCCCCTACATTGCTATGGTTGTCCCTTGTTTTGGATAGCCCGCTATGGAATGTGGGAGCCACCACGCCAGTGACAATTGATCATTCATGTTGGACTGTGCCGCTTGTTCTACGGGTCTTAGGGCAAGTACCCAAATGTCAAGGTACCAAAAGCCATTCGGACAATAGTATTTGAGACCGACCCCAAATTCAATATTTGGGTATTTGGCGCCTCAAGTTCTGGCTAGCTGCCAGGCTCTAGGGCGTAGTCTTTTTACACAAGGGGCTGGGGGTACAGAAATATTACACAAGATCACCGCCATGTTGGGGGACTTAGGGGGGCTTGTAAAGGTTATAGCTGCAGTTGCAACTGGGTTACAACAGCCCTGAACCTGCAAGTAGGCTTAGACATGAGGGTGCGTACCTCGTGCCCTGAACCCGAAACCTTGAACAAACCCTAGACCCTAAACCGAAGCCCAAAATAGCCAGGGTTTCTAGGTACTTGGTAGTTTCCCGAAATTAGGGGACCCCAATATAGACCCCAAAATGCTAAAATCAATATTATACGGACTCCCAAAATGGTACCCCTAATTTGGGAAACCCCACTTGGCACTGGAATTTTTGGAAGCCATGGACAACCCACTCGCTCTAGGGAAAGACACAGCACGCAAAACAGAGCTGAGCAGCAGTTGCCCTTCCCTGACACCCAGAACTCGGGCCAATAGTAGTTTCCATTTTCTCTTCCATTCCCCCAAAATCTCCCCTATATAATTCCCCTTAAATATCCCTATAATATCCCGATATAACCCAAAATAAGTACTCCTGCAGTCCACTCTGGACCTCCACACCCGAATTACCCGGGGAAGAAGCTCAGAGACCCAGTCCTCCTTCTGAAACTTGGAGTCTTGAACGGCGAAATCCGGCGACTGGAGCAACATAAACCGTGAGATGTTTGACAAAGCCCAAGCCCTGAACCCCAAGCCCATTGGTAGTCAGTACGCTATAAACTCGCTGCGTCACATGAATCCTGGGCATCCTACTGCTTTCGGGCTAAAGTCCCCCTTAAGTAGATAGAATATGGGGTAGATGGGGATCTTATTGTGATATTGGGCAATTCCATATTCTATCTACTTAAGTGGGCCTAACGACTTGTGCTTGAATCGTGTGGACAATCCGTGGCCTTGCTCCTTGAAGATCTAATGAAGATTCGACTTGTTGGGCTTGTGGCTGAGGTATGCCCCTAGGGACCCAAGCATACAACTAATACATACATTGGGCCCTAAAGTCCGTAAATCGTACCTGCATTGGGCTATTTGGATCCCTTTACATCCCTATACACTCCTAGTTCCCATGTCATTTTCCATTTGCTATTCCATTTGATTTTCCACTATTACGGTACCTACATCAGGCGATTTGGATCCCAAGGGTGTGTTTGCAACCCCAGATGTGGTACAAAGCTGGGAATGGAGTAAGATCTGGATCTGGCATCTTATGAGCAGCTACCTAAATTATTAGTGAACAGCGAAATAAAAAATCGCTTTGGGGGTGAGGGGGGGGGCTATCGCTTTACAGGGTTTTTGCGCACTGCTGTCATCCATTTCGGGGGTATCGCTTTTGGGGGTGGGCCCTATCGCTTTACTGGGGTTTTGCTCATGTCCCTGAATTTTATGTCTGCCTGCTCTTGGCTCCTACACGATAATAAAAGCGGTCGCTCTTATGAGCTAAGGTCTAGACCTAGTATCCCCCTTAGTAACCTCTACAGTAGTCTCCTGCATAACCCTTTTAAAGGAATTTACGCTATAGCTCATGTAGACAAGCTCCACACTTGGGAGGGTGGCCCGCGCAAGCCATGTCAATACTCAAACAAAATCTTGCACCATATGGGGATATTGGCACAGACCCAAGGGTCCTTAGGATACCTGTTGCAGCTGTTGAGGTGCTGCAGCTGAAGTCCAGTAGAAGCAACAATGAGATCGCAAGACATAGTCTAACCCTCAGTGAACGCAACGTAGGCTATGCAAACTGTCACGCTTTACACCCTCAAAACAACACGGAGTCCCCAAAAAAGTGCCTACAAAGCCTACTGACGCCTTGAAAGGGCTCTGTGCGGATTCCACTGTTGTCTTGCCCACGCATGTAAGGTTTAGATTTTTCAGGATTTGGGGCTTAGGGTCGATAGTGTTTATGACCTTACCTGCTTCACGACCTCCTCCAAAGCCCCCGCAATGCTGCGATAGCCTCAGTAGAGCAGCGTTGTGTTGTGTGGCCGTTGAGCTCCACTTATATACACAGAGGGGTACTGGGATAGCGCATGCAGCGTGATGTGACAGGCGAATCTATAAGGTGAATAGCGTCTGCGTTTCTGGGGCAATCTCCCCGTGCTCAACAAATTGCAGACTTTGTCTGTTGACTGAACTTCATTGATCATCTATCCTTTCTGGAGCGACGTGCAATGGATGCGCATTCGTATGAGCTGTCCGAAAGCAAAAATACCTGATGCCGTCACTGTTCAGGAGCCATCTATCTTGTCTTTCCTTCAGCAGTCCCAACTTGTTTCAGTCGTCATCTGAACCCGCCTCCAAGATTTGTCAAGCGATGCTTCATCCTCTACTTGCAAGACCCTGCTGCATCAGAAACCTCAAGTAGCAGTCAGCTTCCGCAGCTTCCACGACGGGAAGCTCAGCTCTTAACTTACGGGCTCAAATACACTTAAACACCATATACTTACCCAGAGCATGCACCACAATTACGGTTACCCAAAACCCAAATACCTCCTTATTGGGTACTTGGGCCCTTAGGGCTACATTACTCACACATATATATATATATATCCCTATACAGCATCTGTTTCCATCTCATAGGCCATTTTCTTTTCCGTTTGCTTCTTGGCTTCAGGGGCCATATTGGCTACCTGAAACACCGTATGTGGTCACGCGCTTGCTGGCCCTCCCCCCCCACCCCGCACGGTCCAGGCCATTTCCCCCGTCCAGTTGTGGGTGTGGTCGGGGTGGCCCTCCCCGTCTTTGGGTGTGGTTGGGATTGGGTGGGATGAAGAGACATGATTTGAGGTCTTCCCCTCCCTCCTGTGGGTAAGGGTGGGTGCGAATCTCACAAACTGAGGAATTGCGTAAGCCATTTGTAAGCTATATGGTATGGGGATGAGAGAAGATATTTGCATGGATTCAACAGGATTGTCTATAGATGTGTAGCTATAGAGACGGACTGTCATTCCTATGCAGTGTTTCTAAAGTTTTTAGAGGGTCTTAGAAAGAAATATGTCACATAATCTATTCATGGTGAGATACTAGAGACGTTAAAGCTGACGGCATGTTTGGAACGTCGTGCACCGAGGTCAGATTCCAAAAGTGACGACATTCACGAAGACTGCGCCTTCCGGACACCCCAACCATGGGACTGTTGGCACTCTTGAGATTGCGAAGACCCTACAGCCTAAACCCTAAGCGACAGTTACAGAGATTCTGCTCGTTCATTGCCCTCTTTCCCGGCCTCCCAGACCATACCATGGGGTGGGGGGGGGGTGAGCCATAAAGTAATGCCAGACCCCTAGTTATCGTCAAAACTCCTTACAGGCGGGGTTATATAGGGATTATATAGGGGACTACTATAGGGATCATAAATGGGGATACTATACGAGCTATAGTCTGAACTCCTAATATGCTCCTTCATAGCCCAATAGTAGTCCCCCATAAAATCCCCTTTTTGACTCACCTTTGAGGAGTTAAGACCCTAAACCATAAACCCTAAATAGTAGTTTCCATTTTCTTTTCCATTATCCCTACATTATGGACCTTTAGGATTAGATATGACCTGAAAGTAACAGCTCATGTTCTGGTTTGAAACACCAAACAGAGTCGAAGCATGGCCTGCATGTCACTGCAACTAGATTTAGTGTTAAGGGTTGTAGGGGTTTGGCATTTAGGGTTTTCAGGGGTTTAGGATTTACGGTTTAAGGGTCTCAGGGTTCAGGGCTTATGGAGTTTTAGGGGTTTAGGATTGAGAGTTTAGGGTTTAGTGTTAGGGGTTTAAAGCAACCTCTGCCAAGTGGAAGGGGGGCTGTCAAAATCATGGTGAACTTTGCCGTCGATAGAAGGCAGAACCCATCAGCGAGTTGCTGTAGAGCAAGGGGTTCATATGATACGAGCCACTACCAAGAATTGCCGTTAGCCAATGAAGCGGTAAAACAGCAGCGGCCTCAACGTGGTCTCACAAAGGAGTTACTACCCGGATGAAGGGCGAGTCAGGTGCACAAGTCAGGAACAAGCAGGGGGCGAGTCAGGAACAGGCAGGAGGGTTACTCAGAAAGAACGTGAGGGCGAGTCAGGAACAGAAAGGGGGCGAGTCGAGAATGAATCCTAAACTCGGAACCCTAAACTCGAAACCTCTGGCTCGCCCCTTGTCTGTTCCTGACTCAGGCCCCCATCTAGGTGTGACTTGCCCCTGCCCTGCCCTGTTCTCACCTGTTCCGTTGTCTCTCGGCCAACGTCCCGTACTACTCTACTTTAGCAATCATATGCCTACCCTTCAGGACACAGCGCTGTAGGGCCATAGCTTCCCAGAAGATACTTCCTCATGACCCCAAGCACGGAAGCCCAAACTCGAAGCATCAAGGAATGAATTCTCCCAAGGCAACTTACAACTTGCAAGTTACGCAATTCCAGAAACCAGCTTCTGGGGCGCAAGCTGAGTTGCATCTTCTTGCGCAAGCCCTGCGAACTCTGTTGAAGGACGAGTGTCTGAAGTTTCAGGATGGGGCTCAGGACGCTTTAGGTTGGGTTCTGCCCACGGCTGTAGCAGTCTCTATCCAGGGTCACTTTTAAGGGCTATATATAACATTATATAACCATATCATACATCTTATCCAACTGCTACAGAGTGGAGGCAGTACCCAAACTTTAGGAGCTCGCGGTCAAGACTTGGAACACTAGCATGCGTGCTTGAACTTACTGGTTCTTAGTGGGGAATAAGGGAATGTAATCCCTACATAATGTATTCCCATATTCCCTGGCAAGCCCCAGTAAGTGAAGGTGTTCCCTGTCCGGATGGAGGTTGAGACTTGTGCGTCAGAATGGATGGAGGTTCTCGCGTGCAAGTCTAGATCCTTTAGGGTCCAACTATCCCAATAGTGGGGGGCTTTAGGCCCCAAATAGGATAATCTGGACGGTATTTGGGACATAAAGCTCGCATCAATGGGTACTTGGACCCTTGTGGAATTGGAAAGAAACCGGTCCCTTGAAATGTCAGACAACAAGACGTGCAGGTACGGGCTCCAACCTCCCCTGGCTTGCACAAAAATGTAGTGTCCCAGAATTGGGGCTACCTTTTTTGGTTGTCTCTATAATAAGGACTTGTATATTTTGGGGTCTATATTGAGGTCCCCATATTCAGGGAAACTACCATATGTCCTGCAAAACTATTCGGGCACACTGGGGCTTGCCATCTTCTCCAACTTCATAAAGGAACCCCAAGTACGATAGCAGTTTCAATGTTCTTTTCCATTCCCTCTTCAAACAGTCGCTTACTAGTTCCCGAGCCCAAAGACCGCCCAAACCTGAACTTCTACACTTCAGGAGTTGAGGCTATATGGTGGCTTCTCGAAATAGGGGGTACCTTTTTGGGGGTTCCTACAATAAGGCGTCTAGCATTTTTGGGTCTATGTTGGGGTCCCTTATTTTGGGAGATTACCATATGAGCTACAGTCAATGATTGGGTCAAGGTTCAGGGCTTAGGTTGAATATGGGGTCCGGGAACGTAGGGCGCAGAGGTGGAACTCCTTGCTATTGGAAAATACTGCGCAGCTTCTGACGGTAGAGCTCTAGCAGCAGGATGCTCTACCACAATCATATTGCGAGAGGGTAAGGCTCTCCTCTGACGTTAAGCCCCCTCCTTCTCGACACAGTTAATGTGCCATGGAAAGCAACCACGATAGAATCTCTGTATGTTCAGCATGAGACGAAGAGATCTGCACCGTTTCAGAGATGTGGATTACTCCCAAACCCTCTTTTGGGCCGTAGCCTCGACAGTCAACGAGGGTTCCGCCAGTAAAAGAGCCTCAGCAGCTTGTTCGAGCTATAGTCTAAACTCCTTATATTCTCCTGAATAAGCCCTATGAATCCTCCCCTATATAATCTCCAATATAACTCCCCTTTAAGACGTTAGACCCTAAACCCTAAAGCCTAAACTATAAACCCTTTAAGAAGTTTAGACTACAGCTAATTTAGGGGCTTTTCGGAGGGCCTACAGCTTGAGGGCTAGATTTGAGCTTCATCTGGGTTGTTTAGGGTTTGGAGGTTGAAATGGGGGTGCAGGGGTTTCGGGCCATCAGTTGTTTTTTTTTCTGGAAGCTGCAACAATGGCACAAAGTCGCACTTAGCCCTTGCGGAGTTCATCAACGCCCCCAGGCGTGGGCGAGCTGAGAAAAAACACCCAAAATCACAAAGGAGAAAGTGTCGGGCCAAGTCTGCCGTTCCTTTGCAGATCAAGGACTATTGAAGGCCTTCGCGGCTCTTAGTACAGCAAAAGCACGCGGGCTAGCTTGACAAACTCTGACAAAACCATACGAAACCCTAGACCTTAAGCCTTCCACTCGAACTAGTCCCAAGCCGATGATTTCCGGTGTCACTCCGCATGACGGTACAGCCTCATTGAGCAGTGTCAACTTGGAGATTCCAGTCTCTGCTCAGCCTTCACTGCGTGATGAAATAAACCCACGACCTCAAATTCGAAGTAATCGCACATCCGCTTTCAAAGCCCACCATACCCCAGACTTGAACACCTACCCTGCCGCTGGCAAATATTCAAACTGGAAGACAGAAGTGTCGCGGCCCTTTCCTTGTGACTGCTGCTGCGACCATAATAGCAACCGTGGCCTGCGGTCTGAATGACTAAGTACTATTGTGACACTGCCTGGCAACAGAAGAAAACCCAACAATCCAAGAAACCCTAAACCCCAAACACTAAACCCTTTTTCTATCTCATGCTGTTGCTGGCATCCCTTCACGAGGTCCTCACGCTCCGCAGCTCGGCAGTGGACACGCCTTCTACGCCTGCACCGGACGAGGATGGCTGAAAAAGTGTTACTCATCATGTTTGCTATTATTTTGTTACGCTTTTTACTTTATGAGTATCTTTGCTGCTATTCGCACTAGCATTCCTGTAGGGTTTGCGGTTGGGTGGTTGAAAGTTGCCGGAAATGAGACAAGTGTAGCTCGACCTGCGAGGCTGGTGTTCAAAAAAAGTGCCAGCAAGTTTCCATCAAGATCAGTACAGGTCTGAATCTACAATGGTTCAGCTCTTTACCGTCCTTCCTAAAAGTACCTCCTCGTCCTCCTTTTCCTCATCATCCTTCCCCTTCTTCTCCTCTTCCGCTGGCCTTCGAAGTAGAGAAGAACCTCTAACCTGGTGGACTGGCTTTTAGGTTTCAAGATGCACATTGTAGGTTCATCCGCAGCCCAAACCCCAAAAAGCGCAACCCATAGCCTCACACTCTATACCCCTTGGCCTGGGTGTGCCTATAACGGCTATAGCTATTATTTACTACTATTACTATTACTCTTACTATTACCATTACTATTACTATTACTAGTACTAATACGATTACTATTACGATTACTATGACTATGACTATCACTATTACTAACAGTCATTCACTACGATAGCCTCTATTACCACTATTACTCGTTTTACTATTAATGGAGCACCATCTCTTGAGCCCAACGCTTTCTCAAAGTGTTGCACCCCAAGGGCTCATCGCTAACAAATTCTTCCTCCCTCCCGGCGCTTACCATCCACGTCGATGAGCGGCAGAAGCTTCCCGGTCTCTGCTGGGCTGAATCCAAACCTGGATTACACTTACCCTGGGACTTGGCCCGGAAAAGAGCAGCTGAAGGTTTTCAAGGGCGCAAGGCATCGTCCAACGGATACAGATTTTGCGACAATTCAAGCGCACACTAAATGAACCTCCTAAACCGTAGCACCGGCTGATCCGCAAATTGCTTCTATCTGGATCCTGGTACACTCATACGATGAAGCTACCAAACCTGCTGGCACCAAGGGTTTGAAGTTTATTCTTGGGGCAACTGGTGAATCATCAAAGGACTGCCATTGCAAACTTTCAACCGTAACATGGCAGGCTACAGACTCTGCAGCCTGAACGCTTGGGAAAGCCGAGGCTTTAGCGACCTATCTTGCTTACCGTCTTTTGAAGAGCCCAAGACCCCATAGGGGTAATTGGTCATTTCCTTAAAAAAAAGGGGGACCCGGGTATAAACCCCCCAAAGTACCACCTAGTTTTGGGAAACCCCCAATTCTGCACTGCCATGGCACCTCATACTGAAGATTTAAGCCTATAGGGACGTAGGGCCATTTAACCCTCAGCCTGGCTGCGAAAGATCATGCCCGACATCAACTCTGAGGGGTTTAGGGTTTAGGGTTTAAGGGTTTAGGCTTAGGGTTTAGTACCCTAAACCTCAATCCTAAATCCTGAACCCTATAGGCCGTTCACCAAGGTCGGCACAGCGATTGCAAGGCCCTGGCCCAAGACAGGGATATAGAGCCCTAGGGTGATATCGGTTACATAGTGTTGTGTAGCGTGGCCTACATGCATATATATATATATAGATATAGATATAGATATGGTTTATAGGTTTATGTAGGGCTTCATGTAGGGTTGCAGAAGGATATACAGGGTGGTATATAGTTCAGGGACCAATGATGGCTTTGGGCGATAGCTAATGGCAGGATTCAGCCAAGGTTGGGTGGAAGCTGGGGTGGGTGCGTATGGGGGATTCGGGCGGAGCGGCCCAAAGACAAAAACCAAGTAACTCCAAATACCGACCTACAGCAAAGTAGTAGTTACTACATATGAGTCACTGTCTAAACTCCTAGTATACCCCTTCATACTCCCTATTGCAGTAACTTGCAAACTCTAAGCGCCCTTCAAATGCAAGCACCAGCTTCAAAATCCAAAGCGCTCAGCTCTCTATCTCTTTAGGAATTTCTTAGTTTGGATTTCAGGTCTGGCTTTGAGGTTTCAGGTTTGGGTTTAGGGTCTCGGGTTAGGGTTTAGGTTTTTCTGGGTGAGGGTTTAGGGTCTCTGGCTCTTAATCCACTCAAACACGGCCTGGTCAAGGACTCCTCCTCCATCTCATCATCATCCCGCTTTGCTCCACAGTGGGCCTTCGCGGGTTTCATCTCGAGTTGAGGCATCTCACCTTGGAATCCTAAGCCCTAAAGCAACTAGTGGAGCGTGGAGGACCCTTGAGGGAGTTGTTCAGCGTAGGGGCACATTCAGAGGCTCTTGAAATTCTAGGATTTACAGGGATTAGGCTGCTACACAGAGTCTGGAGTCTCAAGCTCTCAGGTTCTCTCAGACCTAACTGGCACTGCTCCTGGTCCACCCTAAGTACATCCCCAAGAGTCAAAACAATTTGCCAGGCAGAGCCATGTGTGCAAAATGTCACTTCTTATTTGTCAGCGCGACCTGGATGTAGAAGCAAGAAACCTGACAAAAACCCCGCAACTGTGCACCGACTAGAAGCAGTCACAGAAAGCTGGCCCTGTCACAGTAAGGTTTAGGGCTTAGGGTCAGGTACCTGGGAAGCTTCCATTTGGGTGCCGCTAATAGCATCATGCAATGGATGTTTAGCTTTACACATTCGTCCTTTGAAGCTCTGCGATCTTTGCCCATGTGAAGCGACATCACAGAATGGGGCCCATGGGGATCCGAAGGGACACAAGGGGATTTCAAGGAATTATGGAGGTGGAAGTTGGCGATTGCATAGGCATTGCTTTGAGAAACTCCCACACGAGAAAAGCCTTGAACAGCGGAACAGCCAGCGGAAGAAGCAGCAAAAGAACATCACGCCTGACTGCCCTTGTCATGAACCTTACGTACATCCTAGAAAACCTGACGGTTAGCCCCAACTCCCAAACCCTAAAGCCGAAACTACTCCGCCAACCTTAATCCCAAGCACTATGTGACCCCGAACCATCTCTGCATACTCAACACGAAGCTCTGAACGCGAAATGAGGGCGCCTTCACCGCCTGCACAGCTGCCTCGACCCCGCCAAAACGACGCTGAGAAAGAAGCCAAAGCTCCTCTCGGATTTTCATACGATTCCTCCTCATTACTACTTCGCCGCCACCACCGCCACCACCGCCACTACTGCTGCTGCTGCTGCTGCTGCTGCTGCCACTACTGCCACTGCTGCCACTGCTGCCACTGCTGCCACTGCTGCCACTGCTGCTGTGGCGGCTACAACCATCGCCGGCGCCGGGCGACGGGCGGCGGCGACCTGCGACTGCGACGGCAACAGTGACAGCAACGGCGGCGGCGGCGACGGCGACGGCGACTTTGATGGCGATTAACTACTAACCGCGGCAGCAGCGATGACGACGATGATGACGACGATGGTTTTACTACTTCTGCACAGGCTGGGAATGTAGGAATTCAGTGACATTCCCACATAGCTGTCGTTTTGTTGAGAATAACTCCCGGGGCTTAGAGACTTCTACCTGAAGGCTTCGGACCCTCATAAGATGCCAAGGCAAAAAAACTCATTCCAAAAACATCGAACTTCATGTCGAGTAGCTGGGTGCCCAACCTTTAAACCGTCCAATCATGCCTGAAACCAACCTCACAAAGACAGCCTTGAATCAAACACTATGAACTGTCCACCCTGGGCACAGGTCCGCATCTGCCACCCCGAGCCAGATACCTTGGACAAGTCTACGCTCCTCCAGCAGAAGCGGAGGCGAAACCTTGGACTAGTGATTAGTATGGGGTTGGCTACCAGAAACCCAGAAACAAGGGGCCCCAATGTAGATCCCCAAAGCATATGGCACATAGCCTCCATTTTCGGAACTCACAGAAAAAAAGCTCTCTAACTTCAGGCAACCACCATGTTGTTCACCTGCATAACTGGAGTGGCAGTTCGAGGCGTATTCTACGATCAGCCTATTGAGATGCTGAAGTTGTAGCTCCTTGCTTTCTTGGACCTAGACTCAAGCTGCGCGTACCTGCTGAGAGGGTCAACAAACAGGAAAGACGATGCGGAACCGCGAAGAAGGATGCGTTGGCCCCTCTTCATGTTCAACGGCTCTATAGCTATCCGTGCAAACGAGATGAGCCTCAATGGCTGCATGGATCGGCCCGGACGTTTGACGCAATCCTGCACTTCATTGGAGGATCCACAAAGAAGCAGGATCTGAAAACCACGACACCTTCAACCCGCGGTCCTTTGAGAACATTGTTCAACTCCCTGAAGCCCAAATCCATTCCTGAACACCACATCGTCATCCTGGGACCGTAAGCCTGAGACCCAGAATGCTCTGACTTAGAAACATGCTGTGACAGGGCCCCCACGGCAATGAGGCCACAGAGGAGCTCTGCGAGTGTAGCCGTGTTGGAAGAATCGCACCTCAAAACATATGAAGTTGGGTCTATGGCACTTCTTTTGGGTTCATTCTTTCTGGCACTCTGTCGAGATTGGCCCTGTAAAGGTAACCCCCTTGAACTAGGCTCCTGAAGCTTTTATCCTGAGCTTTGCAGGGTTGCCGCGCCCTGCATGATCAGGTCAACAAAGAACCAGCAACAATATGAGACATACCGTGATCGGCATCATCGTGTCTATGGCCAACTCGGGGCCGATGCCATTCCAGATCAGATTGTCGACAAGAGGTACATGATCACCACGGCCCGGATACGACTCCAAACCAAACCCATCTCACGCCTCTATAGTGTGGTAACGACGTTACACCAAAACATACTTTGCAATTACTGCCCCGCGAAGGTCCCCCGGACAGGCCTTCTTAACTGACATGGAGCCCAGATAGAATATGACTTTGGGTTTATTGTAATCAGATCCTCCTATACCCCATATTTCCCCAACAGCGGATACGC